GTAACTATTCAATAATTTTTTCTAAATTTGACCGATCAATTAAGCAACTACAAAAAAAAAAATTTAATTACCTTCCACAGACAAGGCTAATAATAAATAAGCTTCTGTAAGAAATTCTATATTGAATTTTTAACTAAGAAAAATAGTAAACATTTTAAGAGCTTACTAATTAAATTAAAATATCATTAAAAAATGTTTAGCTTTATATAAGAGGTTAAAAATTAAAATAATATACAATTTCCATACTTAATAATTAGTTTAAAATTTCATAAAATTCCTATTAAATTTAGAACAATCACATGCTAATCACACTCACTAAACCTGGCACCATTTCCTCTAACTACTTAAATAAAATTATTAAAGATGGTTTTTCTTGGATTATTACTAATAATCGAGTACTTTTCGAATACATTAAACAAAGTTAAATTAATTCGATTGCGTCTTTTGATTTCCAGGATCTCTTCAATAGCATTCCCTTTTCTAAACTAAAAGATGTCGTTTTAAGTTATTAGTATGATTTTAAAAATATCCTTAATTGCGATTTTGATTATTGAGAAATTCTAATTAATTTTTGTCCTTTTAATAATTTTCTTTACAATAGAAAACATTTTTTTAATTCAAATTGACTGAATACCACAAGTATCTAATTTTTGTTATCTGTCTTAGCTAACTTAATTTCCACTATTATGAAAACAAATTATACTCTTAATATTATGTTTGTTTCTAAATTTATTAATGATTTAATTATCTTTAATTTTAAAAATTACATAATTTTTTAAATAATATTTACTCCGTTTATTTTTTGGATTTCAGTATTAAAAAAGAAAAAAATATTCGCATTGTTGATTTATACGATAAAAGAAATTATTTTAATTTTAATATAAATAAACTAATTACTACTTGGAATTCCAATGTCCTTAATTACCATTTTTAATGAAATGAATAGAATGAAAAGAATATGTAGTAATGTTTATTTATCAAAAAATCAAATAGGCAAACTCTTTCAAAATTTGATAAATAACCATGGATACCTAACTACTGCAATTAAGTTCCCCATAAAAAGATTTTGAGTTAATTGTATGTTATTATTATTAATAAATATACTAAAAACTTCTTCGTTATTTAAATTTATATTTTTACCTAACGCAAATCCGTGGCTAAAAATCTGTGCAAACCTGGCAAATCATGTTTTTTTTTTAAATGCTGGTTTTCTAATATCATTAAAATTGTATAATTAAGTATCAACCTTATTAATTATAAACTTTTAATTAGCCAGTATAATAGCATTACTTTGCGCACATCCATTTTCGGGTCAATCAAGAGCAACTAACAAATCAAACGCCCTACAGTACAACAGAGGGCGCCATAAGAGACTTCTCTGTTCTTCTTCTATTTTCATATCGTGTAATCTGGCAATCTTGATACGAAAATCTTTTAAATCATTCCGGTATGCGTAAGTTCATTTAAATTCGTTACTCGCTTTTATAGATTACATTTTATATTTCATTCTGTATTTTTCTTACATTTTATTTTCCAATTTTTGCTTAATGTGTTTTATTTTCGTTTCAATTTTTTTTTTTTTTTTTTTGAGTTTAAACTAGCATATGATTACTTTATTTGAANTTTTTTTTTTTTTTTTTTTTGTGTTCCTCACACTATTGTATTGATATATTTAGCTTTAGCTGTATTAATACAATACTGGAAAACACTCCTTTTTGGAGATATAATCGTTTAGTTTAGACAAATAAATTAATTTTTGATAATTTTAATCCCTTTGTTTCTCTGCTCTCCAACACTAATGTGCTGATATTCTCACTTTAATGTGTCTTAAAATACTGCAAGGACTCCAAGAATACATATGAAAGTCAGCGGTAAATGAATATCCTTTATTTAGTAATTTTCAAACCCCTTCCCCTATAATAAATTCAACTAGGATTGTTCAACTTTAACTGATATTTCTTAATGTTAAACGGTTATTCACTGAAAAGTTATCTCATGAATGAGAGAAATTCTATAGCTAATTGTAATTATCTAATCTTTTTTATAAATTAATATTCTAAATGGGAAATAAATTCACTTTTATATGCCGAAGGAATACCAAAGTGCCAACAGAAGAAACGGACCATCCTGAATAACTTTTGATCTAATTATTTATCAGATTTTTACGTTCTAGGACTCATTCTTAATGGTTCGAGGGGGTTGATCTGAAATATGCTAATTAAAGAGTGCAGACGAAATCAGATCAAAAACGTACTTCCTTTGAATAAACATACCTTTTTTTTTTCAAAGGATTTGGATTCTTGACTCCTAAAACATATGGGGTAGCCGCAATAGTTTGGCCAGGAGAGCCGTCCAAATTTTTCACCCCTAAATGCTAATTTTATTTTTTGCGTGTTTCGCTATATCTCTAGAACTTCTAAAGCGAATTGAAATTTTTTTCCACATAATTATAAAATTCGTTGATTCAAAGATAATTCCAAGCGAAAAATAATTTTTATTAAATGCTTAAAATTTTTTATTACATTATTTAATACTAGACGAAACATTTTTGAATTGGTATATCATTGTGGTATATAATATTAAGTATATAATTTTTCTTGTAATAACAGGTATATAATAATATTTTGTTTGTAATAACAGGTATATAATAATATTTTTTTGTTGTTGTAATGACAGGTATATAAATTTTACTCATAAAAAGGTATGTTTATTGAGAAAAAGTACGTTTTTGTCTCTGATTTCGTAACTTAAAATATCGTCTGCACTAACTAGCATACTTGAGGTCACAACCTTGAATCATTAAGATTGAGTCCTAGAACATGAAGATCCGATCATGAGATCAAAAGTTATTCAGGGTGGTCCGGACTTTTTTTTTCACTCTCTGTATAATGAATGCTAAGATCTTATAATAAATAAAAATTCATGAATAAATGAAATTGCAACAGTATAATAATAAGCCACATTTCCAAATTGTTTGGGAGATAGTGATCGAAACCGAAACCTTGATTTTCATGTCAGCAACAATACGTTACTAAATGGAAATTCCAGAACATGAATTGTTATTAAATGGAAATAGAATTGTTAAATAGAATTGTTATTAAATGGAAATTCCAGAACATTTTTAAAACTAATTATCAATGTTTGATAAAAGAAACGTCAGAAAAAGTCAGACTGTTAATTGACCTAAAACTTTGCTTTCGGTTGAAAGTTTGGACACGTTAATGTAAATTTCACTTTTTGCAATTATGGCTACATCTCGAACATTTTCAGCGAATCGAAAGTTCTCACTCAAACATAAAATGTCTTTATTTAAGGCTAATAACATGTAAAAATCAAATTTAATAAATTATTATTCTTTAAATTTATTTAATAACAGTCGAAAAAATTTTGAATTGTGAGGTATACACATTTTTTACATCGTTTTAAAGAATGTAGTTTTTAGAAGACAAAATATAGAATATGACCTTAAAAAATTAAACATACGACTATTTAAAATAGAATAAAAAAAATTATATAATGTGCAATTTTATAATTTTCTGACAATTCTTAAACAGGCCATTAAATTTAAATTAATTATCAAATAGCTTTTGACATTAACTAGTAGACACACATAAGAAGTAGAATTTACCGTAAATTAACTGCAGTGTGGTCCATCCCACTAGTGACTTAGCAAATGAGCCAAATTGGAATAATGTTTCTCCCCAATACACTATTTTCCCTATATAATAACACGAAAAAGCCGATTTTGCTGTGCAGAAAGAGACTTCAGGTTAAAATACGACTTTTCAGGTTAAATAAAGCTAACATTGGACGCAAAGAAAACCAATACAAATCCAACATGTATCTGTCGATATCTAAACAAGGAATAACTCACTCCCTACCCACCTGGACAAGAAAAAAAATTTACCATCGGAATAAAGCTACTTCTTACTGTAGCCAAAATACACTTTGTAAATGACTTGAAATATGGGATGTTGCGATAATGCTAACCTCCCAATGTGACACGGACTACCCATTTTAAGACATTTTGAGGGTAGCCCGTGCGTTTTCTTCGGAATCTAAGGGATATGCCATTCATCACTAGCACATCTTATCCAAAAACCACTACTATGAAGATTTTTCAAAGTAAAATGATGTATTATTCTTCTGAAAAATCTGGCTTGGGACATCCATTCTCTCTACAAATGACAATAAATGCGATTTTAACAATTTTTTTAAATAGTTGTCGTCTAGGCAACATGAGGCAGAGGCCAGTTAAAGTTGACTCATGTAGCTCGTAGCCGTAACCTTCACACACTTTTAAAGAGGCGCCAACTTGCTGTATCATGAAAAAAGAAATCCTCCTTTTTTTTCTCATGCTATTGCACATAAAATCGTCTGGATCATATATATTCTCTTTTTTCTTACCATCTACTCTCCTATGGTTGAGAATAGCTTTTAGCTTGAGATACTGCTTCATTTCTCTAAATCGCAAAATGTTTGTATAATAAAACAGCAAATAAGAAAAAAAAAGATGAAATCTTCTCTAAATGGTAGCAAGGAGGAGGCTATGATGGTAAACTTATTGTTTTTCTTATTTGTTTGTTTATTTATTCCATTTTATAACCGGCATTGAACAGTTCTCCCCAAATTTCTCCCAAAGCTTGTTCCAGGAGTTCCCTTGTCTTCTGGACTGGGTTCAAAATGACAACGCTACGGAGTTTAACATTAGTAGTCATAAACCCAATGAATTGGGTCGGCTGTTCAACAACTGTTGTAAATACTAAATGGGCACATAAAACTTCTAAAAGTTATGAGGTAAGACCTGGAAATGAATAGGAATACCTTTGCATATGTATGAAAAGAGACCAAAATACTGAGTCCAATCTAATTATACCCAATGAAGTGGGTGCTTAACTATATACACCAGTTTGTTTTGAAATTTATAATCATTGTTAATCCTTGAGAATTTTTTTTAATTCAAAGAATTAAAATTTCATTCATATTTCTTGAACTTTTAGGCATTAAGGACGTTCCTTTCTTGGATGAGACTCTTCTGTGCTCGGAGGGAATCATTGACAGAAGAGATGAATTGCCACTTTATGAACCCTCTTTTGACAGAATCGTAGATGTGGCTTTTTCTCCTGATGCACCCCTTCCCCTTCCTTTTTTGAGACGCTTTTCCGAAGACAACGACCCAGATGTGCCATACAGCGGCAGGGATACACCTCAACTCCGTCTGAAAAAAAGATCTGTTACGGAATCGAGAGAAATCGAGAAAGATGACGGAGACCAGTATGAAGTCAGATTTCTGACTCCCCTATTGCGAGAAACCAGAGACAAAGAAGACATCAAGACAATCCACCTGTCTCCTTCGTTCACACCCCGACTCGGCCGATCCCAAGACGGAAACATCAACGGAGCATCTCGAGATTTGAAAGCGGAAGGAAGGTCTGAAAAAAAGAATAAAATAAACCTGCTTGCAGGAAGTGCATTCACTCCGAGACTTGGCAGATCTGAAAACTCGCCAAGAATCCGTTTTCAAGCTGGTAGCGCGTTCACGCCAAGATTAGGCAGATCTAGAGACTTCACCTCCAGACAACAGAGAGCCAATCGGATCAATTTGAACGCGGGGAGTGCCTTCACGCCAAGGCTTGGAAGATCGGATGGTACCAAAATGATTGTCAACGCCGGAAGTAGCTTCACTCCCCGCCTCGGAAGGTCTGAGGACCGAAGCAGAATACAATTGAATGCTGGAAGTGCTTTCACGCCAAGACTGGGTTAACTGTGTTTTTAACGTTAGGATTACAAGCAAATAAATTCAAGAAAGAAATAAAACCTTAACTGCTGTACCTCATTCATCATCTCATATTAATAGATTGAACATTTATTCGATAATCAAGACTTATATGTAAATGTTTTCAATAAAACTACATTGATAATTGGCATGAGAATGAAATAAACTACACATATACCATTCTACGGATTATACACTTTGTATGTAGATTAGGTGGCTCGAGGTTTCTCCACTCACCACACTTTTCCCTTCACCATGGTTTCCTTTTTCCCGACACCAGTATGTTTTCACTTATACTGAAACATACTGCCCGGGGGAAGCAGATTTTCTGTAGTGGGAAAACCGCATAATGTTAAGATGCCTATTCTATTTGCAAACAGGATAACATTTCTCGAATTAGTTCCAAATCATTTGATATGTAACGAACCTCTTTCTGCTCTGATCAGCGTTACACTTCTGTGATCGGCATTGTACTTCTATAATTAGCGTTTCAAAAAACAACTTTTAAAGTCTGAATGCTCTTCTATTATGATGTTTCGAAATAAGAAAAAAAATGCTGTCATTTTCACAACGTAAGAAACCGGTGCCGTAATGGCTCAGGGGATAGAGCGTTCGCCTTCCTATGAGGCGAACCTGGTTAGAATCCCAGCGATGGCTCGTCGATACGAATTCCGCATCCGGCTTGCACCAACCACTGTGCTGACATAAAATTTCCTCAATGGTAGACGGATCACGGGTTAGAGTCCCCTCGCTGACAGGTTACCCATGGGAGGTTTTCGTGGCCTTCCTCTCCATGCAAAGAGGGTTAGTTCCATCAAAACTCTTCCAACAAAAGCTTAAAGCACAAAATGGGTTGTGTAATTCACATATTTTCAGGAAGATCAGTCCCGGTAACTAACAACCACACCTCCATTGCGCAAAACAAGAAACTGTACACTTTGAATTACCTAGGATCTAATCATTGGATTTTCATGTACTAAGCAAGGCTCGAGCGAACGATAGTTTTTTTTTTTTTTTTTGGCGGGGGGTGGGGTGTTACCTAACTCAAATTCGCTTTTACCCAACTAATGATCATTTTAAAAAACCTCCGAGATTCTTATTTTTTTTCATATTTTATATTTAATTACTATTTTTTAATAATTCATTTCTATTACTCTTGATAATGTGTAAAAAAAAATCTGGTTTGAAACTCCCAAGTTTTTCTTTTTTAAGGACTTAAAAACGTCGAACATTTCTGAGCACAAATAATGCATCCATAAATAAACAGAAACATATATATATATTTTTGGTTGAAAATATATACTTTGTTGTTTTAATAAATCAGAAATCAAAGTGATTTGAAGAAAAATCAAATTGGGGGAAAAAGAAATGCTGCTTTTTTGTTGAAGCAGCATTCAAAAAGTTAACTACAATATTGGCGATCGAAATGGCTACAGGTGGTATAGGGCAGAACTCTCTGCCTGTGGCAACACCCCATTAGCGCGTGGAGAGTCATGGAAGAAGGAAAAGTACGTTAGCTTCTGTCTTGATTTTCAACGTCGCCAAAAGCCCATTGTGCAGCTCTAGTGCGACGTAAATTAACAACAACAAAGTCTTGATTTTCAAATAGATTAAAATCTTTTAATTTTTACCTCTATATTGAACTGAAAACTACATTAAACATAGCTGAAAACAAATGCATCATGGAAATTTAAAAAAATATTTTTAGCAATTAAATATGAAAAATATTAAATAAAGGAAAAATATCGTAGTGCAAAACAGGAGAGGGAAGACATGGAACCGGTCTTCTCTCCAGATGGCGTATTCGAGCATTGCCCTTTAAACCCAGATAGCAGTGAAAATAATAATAGTGAAATATTTTCTTCAATCGACCACAGTTAGCTGTTTGGAGAAAAAAAAATTATCAGGAGCAAAGTCTGACCGAAAAAAATATATCGAATTACATATTAATCATCCGATTTACGACCACAATGCTGACGTAAAATATCTTCAGTGGTAGACGGATCATGGGTTACAGTACCCTAGTCGTAAGGCTGATCGTGGAGGTATTGGTTGCTTTCTTCTCCATGTAACGCACATACTGGTTAGTACCACCAAAAAAGTCCTCCACGAAGGCAAATTTCTCTTGATAATTCTTCCAGGAGTTCCTTTATTTTCTGTATTGAGTTCAAAATGACAAGGCTACGGAGTTGAGCAGTAGTAGTCGTAAACCCAAAAAATTGGGTCAACTATTCAACGACGATTATAAAATAAAATATAGAAAGTCTAAGTAATTAGAGCAGAATAGTTTAAATTAAGAAATCAGACATAAAAATGTACTTTCTCTGAATAAATGTACTCTTTTTCCCAACGAATCTGTCAGAAATATGTGGGAGGTAGTGAAGGAGGGACCCGATAGTTTTGACTGGTCAAAAGTTTAAACTCCTTAAAACTAATTTCGCTCTCTTGAAAGCTTAAAAGAATCGAAACTTTATAAAATTGTTCAAAAGATAATTACGTGCTAAAAAAATAATTATAATTATTAAAAATTATTTTTTACACTGAAATTTTTCTTAGAAAAACGATTAAAAAAATTTACGATAAGTAAAATTAACCTTAAATGGTCTAATCTTTCGACCGCTCTCCTGGGACGCTTTTTTCCCAGATAGCGGCTACCCCCCCCTTACCATATTTTGAGGATCAATAATCCAAATCCACCGAAAAAAAAGGTATTTTTATTCCAGAGAAAGCACATTTTTGTGCCTGTTTTGTAACTTAAAATATCGTCTGCTCCAGCATACTTAAAGTTGAACCCTTGAAGAATAAAGATCGAGTCTCTGTGCATGAAAATCCAATCATTAGATCATAAGTCATACGCCATTTTTCAATCATCAGCGTGCGTAGCCAAATTTTTGAACAAAAAATAAGCACCTCTTAAGCACTTATTAAAGTACTCAAAAAAATTCTTAAACTCGTTATTTTATAAAAAACGCAAGGGGATATTTTCGTATCGTGATCTGTCACGCCAACTGCAATCGCCAAATAGATTTTAAACTTGCAAATTTAGGGAAAAAAAAGACGCTACGATTCGAGATGGTCCCGCGCGCGCCAGATAGCGACACACGCACGCACACACACACACACACACACACACACACACACACACACACACACAGTTATATATATGAATTTTCAATAATAGGAAGAAAAGTTTTTATTAGTACGCATACCCTAATTATATTATTATGGTTGAATATACCCAAGTATATTACAACATTTTTGGCATAATTCGTGACAAAAACCGACATGATAAAAAATATCTCCTTTTGGAAAATGTCGTAGTTCATTTACGTCGCACTAGAGTTGCACAATGGACTATTGGCGATGGTCTGAGACACATCCCTGAGGATGATCCGAAGACATGCCATCACAATTTTGACCTGCACGCGAAGTCGAGCACTTAACGGTAGCACAGTTTAACGAGCACCAATACCGCACACACTCTGTCCCTACGCAGACTGATACAAGTGGTCACCCACCCGCACACTGACCGCAGCCAGTGATGCTTGATTCGGTGATCTGCTGGGAACCGTGTCTTAACGATTAGTCCGCTGCGGGACTATTTCGTTTTCCATTCATTAAATAATATTGTCTGCTCTGCTGGCTTCCTGACTATGACAATAGGCAAAATTAAAAACTGTGCACTTAATATGAACAAAAATGATGAACAGGAGGGTTAAGCAAAAGAAGTTGACGAGAAAGAATTATAATTCAATAATTCAACGAATTCTATGTCGGATAAGGCTCTGCTTCACCTACTTTAATAAAAAAAAATTCTTGAAAAATTTATAATTTATTAATTTTAATTGGATAAGAATTCTTCTTTGCATGCACTGACAAATAGTTAGCAGAAATAAGGTGAAAAATTAACAATAAACATACTTTGTTAATTCTATATTGCAGAAAAAGGTGTTAAAATTTATAAATAATTTCAAACTATAGCGCAATTCATATTTACTCAAAAAATAATATTGAGAATAGTTTTAATTATTAATGTGCATTTAGATATTTAATATCTGGGGAAAAAAACATTCATATTTTCAGACTCAAGAGAGAATTACTGATTTCTTTTTTTTTTTGTTGTCGTATGCCTGTTTAGGTAGAGGGGGTGCGATTGTTCTTATTTTTCAGTGGCGCCATCTGTGGCCGAGAATTCGACTTCTGCCACACCATTCACACAACCACAAACCCGTTTATAGAGAGGGTCACATTCACACACACAAAGGAGACAGGACATAGAACACACACAGAGAGAAAGAAACATCCATGCCTTGTCCGGGATTCGAACCCAGAACCTTTCTGATGCAAGGACAGTTCCCTGCCCCCTATACAGGCCGGTCGGCAGAATTACAGATAAGTTAGGATAGAAAATAAAAAAAATTAAGAGATGCTGTAATTGTCCATTTAAAAAAGCATTAGCTCTAGATTACATTTTTCTTCACTGGCACAACAGCCACGGGTGGGTCCTGGCATTCCTTTCCCTGCCATCATCATTTTTGGATAAGGTTTTCCAGTTTGTTATTCTAATAATTTAATAAAATTAAATGTATTTATTCTTTACTAATAAAAATACTTATTCTTCCTGTGAATAGTTAACAATATAATTAATAAAATGTTAATAACAAAGTACTCAGAACCACTAAAAATATGTTTGCATTTTTACATCTTTACAATTTATTCATAACACAACCAACTCTAGATGATGTCAAGAAAACTATGAGTCTAAATATAACAAATGGTATTTTGTTACATCAGACTTTGAAGTAACAACATCGATTAACTGCATAAAACAAAGTTCTCATAAGACAACGCTGGTTCTAATTGACAGACAAAGGACCCTTTATGTATAAAATAAATTACTCTTGCCATATATTTGGAAAAGAAAACAAAATAAGCATTTTTCCAAAACAAAAAAAATATTTCTAATAAATTTTTTTTATAAAAATATGGTTTGTACTAATGCACATTAATGGGAAATCAATAATTACTTAAAGAATTATAATTTAATAAGAAAAGTATGGGTTAGATCAGAAGAGGGGAACAAACACCCATGAATCTGCATTTTTTTTTAAGTTCCTTGTGCGGCCTAAAACTTTTGTATCATTCAGATTT